ATGCAGCTGCCGTAGGTGATGGAAACCACAGTCATGTGGGAGGAGCCGGTGGAAAAGGCCTTTTTCCTTTGTTGGGCAGAAGGGAATCTTAGAATGGTCCTGATGATGTATGTGTAGAAGAGGACTACGCACACTAAGGTCGTAATGAGTGTCAGCACCGCCAAACTCAAGACCGTTCTCTCTATCAGCACAGTGTCTGAGCAGGTTATCTGTGATGATGCATCACAGCCAGAACGATCAGTCACATTCGAGTCACAGAATTCCAGCCAGAGGCCCACGCCCAGAGGCGGGAGGACAATCAACAGGCCCGCAAACCAACAGCACAGAACGGGTGTCGTGCAGACCCTGCTGTTCACGGTGGTCATGTCGTGCAGGGGCTCACAGATGGCCACGTAGCGGTCATAGGACACGGCGGCCAGGAGAAAAAATTCGGTTGCTCCAAAGAGGACAACAAAAAAGAATTGGGTGGCACAAGCATTATAGGTAACAGTATTGTCTCCAGTTGTCAGAGTATACAGGAATCTGGGAATACAGACCGTGGTGAATGAGACTTCTAAGAAAGAGGCATTTCGGAGGAAAAAATACATGGGAGTTTGAAGATGGGAATCCAAAAGTGTCAGGGTGATAATGATGAGGTTCCCAGCCACACTCAACATGCAGGTGAGGAACAGAAATAGAAAGAGCAGAACTTGTAGTTCTGGGTCATTGTTAATCCCAGCAGGATGAATGTTGTTACTGCTGTATGATTCCTCATCACTGCCTCCTGCCAGGTCAGGGGTGATTCCACCTGAAGGAAGAAGTGGCAAGAACCTAGCTTTGGAACCTGAATGAAGTATCCTAGCAAACCAACTCTGGTGCACTGTGTCCTTTTACGTAATAATCAGTTTGTTAACACAGCAGTGCCTTCGACATCTTACTAAGAGACATTTATAACAAATCAGTATCTGTTACGAATCTCATGCCTGTAAGTCTGTGACTAGAAAGCATATTTACAAAGATACTGAATACAAAAACATAACTCTTTTGTCTGATATGCAGTTTCTCAACAGGACTGCCTTGTAATGGGGACTTTCTTTTTCCATTTCCTGGAGGAAATTGTGTCATTTTTCAAGGCGTTTTCCTCCCATCCTCATGTTGCTTTTCCACACCATACCAAAATGCTCCGTTTTCAAAACACAGAAAGACTACTCCCTCACACCATACACAAAAACAAATTCAAAATGGCTTAAAGACTTAAACATAAGACAAGACACTACACACCTCTTAGAAGGAAACATAGGCAAAACATGATCTGACATTCGCCTCGGCCATGTTCTCCTAGGGCAGTCTACCCAACCAAGCAACAGAAATAAAAGCAAAGTAAACAAATGGGAACTAACTGAACCTATAAGCTTTTGTACAGCAAAGGAAACTGTAAGCAAAACGAAAAGACAACCTACGAAATGGGAGAAAATATTTGCAAATATTTCAACTGACAAAGTCTCAGTTTCCAGAATATATAAACAGGTCATACAACTGAATAACTAAAAAACAAACAACCCAATCCAAAAATGGGCAGAAGACCTAAACAAGCATTTCTCCAATGAAAACATACAAACATGTCCCCTACAGGGACATGAAAAAATGCTCAATATCGCTAATTATCACAGAAATGCAAGTCAAAACTACAGTGAGGTATGATCTCACACCAGTCAGAATGGCCGTCACTCAAAAGTCCACAAATGACAAATGCTGGAGAGGCTGTGGAGAAAGAGGAACCCTCCTACACTGCTGGTGGGAATGCAGTTTGGTGCAGCCACTGTGGAAAACAGTGTGGAGATTCCTCAAAAGACTAGGAACAGACTTACCATATGACCCAGGAATCCACACTCCTGGGCATATATCCACAAGGAACCCTACTTCAAAAAGACACCTGCATCCCAATGTTCATAGCACTATTTGCAATAGCCAAGACATGGCAACAGCCTAAAAGTCCATTGACAGATGACTGGATAAAGAAGAGGTGGTATATTTATACAATGGAATACTATTCAGCCACAAAAATGACAACATGATGCCATTTGCAGCAACATGATGTCCCTGGAGAATGTCATTCTAAGTGAAGTAAGCCAGAAAGAGAAAGAAAAATACCATATGAGATTGCTCATATGTGGAATCTAAAAAAAAAGAAAGAAACAAAGAAATAAAAGAAAAAGACAAATGAACATAAACACAAAACAGAAACAGACTCATAGACACAGAATACAAACTTCTGGTTGCCAGGGGGAGAGGGGTGGGAAGGGACGGACTGGGAGTTCAAAATTTGTAGACACTGACAGGTATATATACAATAGATAAACAAGATTATACTGTATAGCACAGGGAAATATATACAAGTTCTTGTGGTAGCTTTTGGTGAAAAAGAATGAGAATGAACATATGTATGTTCAGGTATAACTGAAAAATTGTGCTCTGCACTGGAAATTGATGCAACATTGTAAACTGACTATAACTCAATAAAAAAATGTCAAATACATTTTAAAAAGTAAATTAGATACAAAAGAGGCTGTGGTATATTTATACAATGGAATACTACTCTGCTATGGAAAAGAATAAAATAATGTCATTTGCAGCAACATGGATGGACCTGCAGATCATCATTCTAAGTGAAGTAAGCCAGAAAAAGAACAATACCACATATCACTTGCAATTTTTATTTCATATGTGGTTCAAAAAAGTGTAATGAATGGCTGCTTGATCCAGGTTTCTGTGTACTCACGCATAGCAGCACTGCCTGCGCGAGCAGGACAGGCTGCCGACACGGTCACAGGAAGGAGGTTGTAAGTGGAACAAGTTTCCTTCTAGTTCAGCAGTGGTCTTCAGGCTGTTTTGCATTAAAATTCTCTAATGAATTTTGAAAAACTCTGTACCTCTTTATTCTTTTTGAAGTGTGGCATGTAAATACTGTAATTCAGGAGTAGATAGTTGCTGTTTATTTTTTCTCTCTTCTAAAAGCATCCAACGGGAACCCCCATCCATAGAAATTCAGTGTCCAGGATCATTCATATAAATAAGCATACGATTAGTTCTTGCTCGACAGCTGAATGTTTAGCCTCTTTCCTCTCTCTGAACTCCTGTTTCCATTCTCTTTCCCTTATTGGTATTTATCAGGAGGTAACTTAATGTTTGAATTTCTTTTGGGGCAGAGAGGTCACCTTATCATTTATTTAGAAATTATGTGTGTACATTTCATTGCAGTCTAATCTAGAGATCTCTAACCTCTAATCTTTTTTAAAAAAATCTTATTTTTTTCTAATCTCTAATCTTCTCTTGCTCTAATAGTAAAGATTTCTACTTTTATTTAAATCTGGGAGCCACTGACTCTTTCCCACTAATCTGTGTTATTTTCATAAAAAAACTGTAATATAAATTACCTACAAGTAGCTGGTTTTTGAAACTGTGTTAGGTGCTGGACTGTTATTTATACTGGCATATCCCTGAGCCACAGCAGCTGCGTTCTGGTGTATGCAGAAAGGACAGTGATATTTTTTGGTGACTAGTAAGACTCGTGTGTGAGTAAGATGTTTTGTCAGCCATAGAGTTACTTATGAAACTCAGTGCTGTTTCATCACATTGTGACCAACCTCAAGTTTATGTCAGGCCCTGCTGCATGGAGCGCCCGGCCAGGTGGGCCGTGTTGCCCCCTCGGGATCAGAGAACACTGACTCAGTTGCTCTTTGGTCTCGCAGCTGGTCGAGGACGTGAGAGGGGACTCTACTGGGGTGGCTCCTGGGAGATGGATCCCACCCTGCCCCGCAGCCCCCAGTGTCCTACTCATCACCGACGCTCAGCTCTGCCTCTTGGAAACGGCCACTTCCCTCCACGTCCGCCAGCACCCTCCGGTCTCCCAGTTCCCACCTGAAAGCTGCTCTGCCTTGCTCTGTCCAGCCAGCCCCGCTCCTCCAACCTAGAGCAGCCAGAGCAAGTCCGCCCCCAGTCCTGTAGGGCTTCTGTGGCTCTGAGCGCACAGCCAGCTGTCTGCGCCCCCTCTCCCCGTGCCCCCACCCAGCAGCTGAGAGTAGAGCTCCTGCCTCTGGTCCCTCCCCCGTGATCGATCATCCGAGGCCTGCCCCGTGCAGGACCCTGGGGTGGAGGGGCACTGCCACCGTGGCTGGAGGGCAGAGCCAGAACATCAGGTGCAAACCTGAGTTTTGCCACAAACTGGCTGTCTCAGGCTGGAAGTGGTCTTTTGAGAAACAGCAGGAGCAGACCCTCTGCCTGGTTTCTTTCCATCCGAAGGGACCCCGCTCAGCCCTGGCACCAGCAGGTCGGGCAGGGTGTCGTGGTGCTGGCTTTCCATAGTTCAGAGCCACGGAGGCACCTGCCCAGCGGATACCAGCCCGCTGAAGGGTGTGAGGACTCTGTGCGATGCGGTTTCCGGGGCCCCCATCACTCGTGGACACGTTTTGCATTCCAACACGTTATTTATTGACAATCCACATACATGGGAAGCTCTCCTCCCATGCCCCCCACCCCTCCCCCCCAACTCACCCCCCCACCCGAGGGGAGAGCTAGAACACCTCGTGGAGCAAACCCTCCAAGGCCCTTTTGAT